ATCTGGATTGGCACTACACACAAACATCCCTTCTGTCCTCCACTGACACTCAGTAGCAGCAGTGAGGCTGCTGTTCCAAAAAGCAGCAAGCCGAACCTGCGTACTACCTACAAGATGCACTACAGAAATTTTCCAAAGATCCTTAGACAGCACTTACACATGATCACTTCCATCTGAAAGAACATGGGCAGCAGATACATGGGAACACCATCACCTTCAAGTTCTCCTCCAAGCCACTCACAATCCTGACTTGAAAATCTTCTGAAAGTTTCGTCACAGCCGCTGGGTCAAAATCCTAGAATTCCCTCCCTAAGGGCATTGTGAGTCAACCTACAGCAAATGGACTGCAGTGGTTCAAAAAGGCAACTTGGCTTGGGCAATAAATGCTGGTTCAGCCAGCAACACCCACATCCCACGAATGAACAAAAAAAACCCTAACTGCCTGCATTGTAAAGGGCTATGTTGAATAGGTCTGCATCACTGCAGAGGCTGGGCACAAACTCTATCATCTCCTTCACCTCACAGACTGGGAATGCTGCATCTATGAATGTCAAAGTTAAGTTTCCAAACCATTGCACCCACTGAATTACTCACAAAATACTGTTCTGGTAAGTCAGAACTCTGGCTAATGTTCAGGGGTAACAAACAAGACCAGAAATTGTTGGAGAAACTCAGCCTTTCTGGCAACATCTGTGGAGAAGGCAGAGTTATAATGTTGAGTCCAGTGACTCTTCTTCAGTACTTGTTCAGAACAGATTCCTCTCAATCCCTTCTTCATGGATCATTTCATTTTAGCCTGAATACTTGGTCCTCTTACATTCCAACTTCAACACTCTTTCCTAATCTCTTGCCACTGGCCCGGGCTTGACTGCATTTTAGATAGAATGTTTTTCTTTGCCTCTTCTGCATCCTTTGGAGAGTCCGTTGAGGCACAGAATTGCCTCTTTCTAACTTACAATCTTAATTGCCCATCTACTCTCTCACTAACCTTCTCCTACAGCAAGCAACAGGGGGGCGAAGTTTTTCTAAACTTTTCACATCCCACTCAGCAATCTCAATATTGATGCAATGGACTTTGCTACTGGCTCAGCACCTTCCCTCTCTGCAGAACATCCGTTCACTTGTCAACAAGGCAATCCCCATAGTGGTAGCACAAAATTATGCAGAGATTAAAAAACATCTGTAATTCTGTTACAAGAGTGCAATCCACCCACTAATTTGACAAATATTGACGATCCTGTCACTCTGTTGTCAGGAGGTCTGATATGTTCATTATTAAATTTGACTAATGCCTATCTGCAATTTGAATCATATGATGAGTCAAAATCATATTTGCCTATTAATATCCACATTGGTCTATTTCACTTTCAAAGACTACCACTTGTTTTTTTTTCAGCCTGTGGAGTTCTTCAGGAGTTAATGAACCATATTTTGCAAGTAATTCAGGGTGTAGTGTGTTAGTTCAATGTTTTCCTTAGTTCATCTCCAATAGGCAGACTCTTGATGACAGGCTGAGATGTTCCAATATTTTGAACAGCATGGAGTACAAAGTACAACAGTCAAATGTGAAATGTTCAAACTTTTGTCAAGTATTTGGGTCACAAATTAGACAAAGATGGACTACATCTTACCCAGAATCAGGTTCAAGTTGTAGGAAATAGACCACACACCCTCAGAATATGTCAGAGGTCAGATCTTATTTTAGTCCAGTGAATTATTATGGTAAATTCTATCAAATTTGGCAAACAAGTTTTCATCCTGAGGAAGGGGGGATTCTGTTGTTTAGGTCAGATAAGTGCGACAAAGTGTTTAAGTTGTATGAAAGTAAATTGGAAGATGGTATAAAGCTTGTACGACAGTATGCTTATACTTTTCAATGGTACAATGTTTGTACATTACGATGTGTCCAACAAGACTCAGCTAGCAGGTGATGCTTCTCCATATGGAGTAGGTGCCCAGCTCACTCATGTCTTAGATGATAATGAAGAAGGACCGACTGCATTTGCCTTACGAATCCTCAGTGCCAGTGAGCAAAATTATGCTCTGATAGAGTATGAAACAGTGCCTTTGAATTTTGGAATGATATTTCATAAATACCTGTACTGTTGTGATTTCACAATCAAACCTTACCATGGGCCACTGACAGCCAATGTGAATCCAAAGTCTCCAGTGCTGACTTTAGTTGCAACCCAAATGCAGAGATGGGCTTTGATTTTATCAGCTTACAGGTTGATATTAAGTACAGGTGATTGGAAGATCAGTGTAATACCAATGTGATAGGATTACCATCCCCAAGCGATGTAGAACCCAGCAAGGATGATTTTTTACACATGTAGGAGTTGCCAGTCAAAGTTGATGACACGGACAGAACAACCCATAGGGACACTATTCTCAAGGGCATGCACCTATATTGCAAATAGGTGACAAACACAGACACAGGTTTAGACATGAGGTTATTTTTTAAGTTGTAAGGATGAGCTGTCAAGTGACAAAGGTTGCATTATTCAGGGAGCCAGGGTTGTAATTCCTGAAAGGTGCACATCACAGCATTGTGATTTTCATGATCACACTGATGGATTAACAAATAATCTAATGAGAAGCTATCTCTGGTGGTCAGGTTTGGATAAGGAGATAGAAGATACAGTGAAACAGAGCAGAGTGTGCTAAGCTATAGGAGAGGCTGCCATCAGCCCTTTTGCAACCATGGAAATGATCGTCTGGCGTCTGCCAGAGGCTGCACATTGACTTTACAGAATTTGAAGGGCAACAGTTGCTCACTGTGAGGGATAGCCAGACAGACCAGGTTACAGGGCTTCCAATGAATCGACAACTACCCGCAAAATCCGAGATGTTTTGCATAGTTTATGGGTTTCCAGAGGAAAATGTGTTGGACAATGAACCCCAGTTTTGTTTGGAAAAGTTTACACAATTGATGAGAATGGTACAAAAAACACAAGTTCGATCGCATCATTCTGCTTCAAATGGAGCAGTACAAATTGTTAAACGTAGTTTTGTTAAACAAATGTTCGGTACAAATTGAAACTGATATCAGATTTCACTAAATCACAAACTGGCAAATTGTTTGTTTATTTATCATAACACACTTCATTGTATTACTGACAGAAAACCAGCTGAATTGTTTCTGAACACACTCCAGAATGTGGTTTTCCTTGTTGAGGCCACAAAGAGCAGAATCGGTAGAAGAGAAACAATCCAGATAGAAAGAGTCTTCACAGGGGTAGAGTGAGAGAAAGAAGTCTGAATTTACATTGGAAGGTTAAAGTGAAAGAACATCATAACAGGATGAAGGGAGAGTTGTGAAAATCTGTATTTCTCACACATATTTAGTCAACATATTTTCTAATGGAAAGATTACTTCTGAGCAGAATAGTTAGTCCACCACAAATGGTGTCTGAAACCAGCTCAACTCAGAGTCAGAGTGACATGTCTGATGAAGAGGAACATTCAATTGAGGGTCAAATACAAAATCGGACTTTGTTGAGGAAAACATCTCATTGATCTCAGGCCAGAAAAGATCAAGGTCCTTTATCGAATGTTGGATACTTCTGTCAAGAAAGGAGGTATTGTCTTGGGAATAATAAACCAGTGGATAAGTTAGGTTTGTAGATGAATAGGAAACAAGACACGTAAACAAGTTATATGACAGCTTCTGCCTCTGGCAGGAGTGAACTCCAGTGGGAGGCAACCATGTTTCAGATTCTGATCATTTCCTAGTGAAAGATTTGGAACCACACCCTGCCCAAGTCTACAAATGTGAACTGAATGTCATAATTGAAGCTATGCACCTAACAGAAAACATAGGTTGCCAGTGCACACAATCTAGGGGTTGCATAAGACACTGGTGTCAGCCTGCAGACAGGAAGTTGTTACCTGCACGTAAAAGCACACCAGCACCTGCCTGTTTTCCTTTGGTGGGGAACTCAGCAATGCAGCAGAGACCCAGGGCATCCTTTTGTCCCAGAAGTCATCAACCATCTTTTTCTTTGCAATATAGGGATTCTATGATTTCTGATAATTACGAGGATGAACCAACAGGTTTACAGAGGAATCACTCTGAAAGGATGGATTGTGATATCTGAAAATGAAGGTGGTGAGAACTTAAATGTGGCAAATTATTAGGAGGCTCAGCTGATAGTGTGGTTAGCCAGCTAAAAATACAAACAAAGCTTGTGTTTTCCTTCCTCAAATTTTATAAACTCAAGTATAAAAAGCGTAAACGTCAATGAGGATGCTGAATCTTACCCATAAAATACACCCACACTTGGCATCCCTCTCCAGGTTTCACCTGCTTGTTCCTTAGACTGACAAACCCATGTCCGCTATCCCTCCCAGCTGCCAGTTCACCGGGGGAGGGGGTACTCGTCCAATTCATTCAACAGCATTTACCTCGTCGCCAGCAAACATGTCCAAAACCAACCATCAACCATATACAGGGAAAGATCACCTCATCACATTCTGATTTAAACCATTCCCACCTCAGTACCTTCACCATCCTCCCAAATATCCGGGCCCTGCCCTTAATGTCCCAGCCCGGGCCTAGCCCAGCCCAGGGAACAGAGATGTGGAGGTAGTCCCACACAACAGCACTCCCTGATCCTCAGTTTACACCGACATCTACAGGATCAGAAGCCGCCATTCCCACCAGTGAACATCAATTGTATTGTTTCTCACTTTGAGTTTCACTCACATCATAATATGGTTCTCATTCGCCAAACCCAACCAATCAGTGACTGGCCTAGCTGTAACCAATCGGCTGTGGGCTCCGTCCGTCTAATCCAGTCAGCAGCCGTGGCCTATGTGACCCATTCGACAGCGTGCACCGGCCCGATTCTACCCAATCAGAAGCTGGATCCGGCTGAACTTTGGTCAGGAGCAGGTCAGCGCCCGGTCTGGTCCAATCGGCTGCGGGGACCTGCCCAAACTGACCTAATTATTAACGAGTTTCCTTTCAGCTTGTCCTCCAATTAGGTGTCGTGATCGGTGTCATGTGATGCTGCTGACGCAGGTTGATGACGGCGGTCGGCGCGGCGGCTTGAAGCTGGCGAGTGGTGTTGGAGTGTGGCGGGGGCTGTTTGGGCGGGTGTGTGGCCGGTTGCCGCAGAGGGATACCCTCTGCGGAGAAGGCATGGCGGCCCTGCCCTTACAGCAGCCCAGCTACTTGCTGGTGAGTGCACCAGGCTCTACCGAAGGCCTTCCCCAGTTCAGACTGTTCCTGGCCCTGGGTTTCATCTCTAACAGAGTACTGTGGGTGCTGGAAATCTGAAATAAACACTAAGCTCTTTTAAACACTCAGCAGGTTTAACAGCCTCTGTGAAACAGTAAACATTTCGGGTCAAAGAACATAAGTACTGCAAGTTATTGGAAAAGAGCGGGCTGGGGGCGGGGAATGAGGTAGGAGCTGGGGGCAGTAAAACAACACAAGGGAATTTGTGTGGTGGACTGGAATGACTAAATGACAACAGCAGCAGTGGCGTGAGTCGAAAGCAGATAGCAATGTGACAATGTGGCTCGATGCTTCCCAAACTCTCCCTCTGAAACCCCCCCCCCCCCCTTTCAAAGTTTGGAAATTGTCTTAAATTCCCCCCTTGGCGAGCAAATGATCGAATAGAAGGTCTGTCAGAGCCAGGGGGGACAAAGGCGCATTGGTGGCTGTTGCTGCTCTGGAGCTTGTGACCCCAAAGATTTCAACCTGTAACCCCACTTGGGTTCCTGGCCCCCATTTTGGGAAGCCCAGATATAAGAGATGGACTAGGTGCAGAGAAAGGAAGGTTGATGGCTGTGATTCCCATCACTAGCTCAATTGCCTTAATTGTGAGCCGCCTTAGGTTCTCTACAATATCTGATTTTGTTGTTATTTGTCCCTGAATCTTTTTGTTTGATAGATTGTAACTTTCAGGAATCGGTTTCCCTTCCACTCTGGTTCCTTTGAAGCATCTCTGAACTAAACTTGCTCACTCTCAGATTTTTGCCTACACTGCCTGGGAATATTTGGGGTTCAGATCCCCTTCAGAAATAAAATATTTGTTCAGAAAATGAAAGAATGGAACTGTTTTCATTTTACAGGCTCTTCTTAAAGCAGATGGTACAAATAAGTCTCTATTTCAGAGATGTCATGAATTGTCCAAGGTGATAGAAGATTATTCACCCAAGGTATGAAGCTGCCATGTTTGCCTTTCCTCTCTTTTAGTGGCGATTCTTGACAGTGTACACTGTACTCCATCTCAGGCCATAAGTACACATCCTTTGGGGGTGGGCAGACCTTATTTCTGATCCTGTCTGTGTGTAAGAATGCAGCAAGGCATGACCACAGTGCTTTGGGTGAACTTAGAATGAGCAGTTACACATGTAGATAAATTACTTAGGTCATTGTGAATCTTTGGAATTCTCTCATTGAGAGACATTTGGGTACTTAGTTGTTGAGCTTGTCTAAGATGTGATTGTTACAATTGTGGGTATATGAACAATTGGAGAATCCTTCAAGAAAATGGAATTGAGGTCAAAAGTCTGCCAGGATTTTAAGTGACAGAATAACCTTGAGGGGGCCAAATGGCCTCCTATTCATATAGTCATACAGCATGGAAACAGACACTTCGGTGCCACCAGTCCATGCCAACCATAATCCCAAACTGAACTAGTCTGAACTGCCTGTGCTTAGCCCATACCCCTCCAGACATTTCTTATTCATGTACTTATCCAAATATCTTTAAAATGTTGTAATTGTATCCGCATCCACCTCTCTCTCTCTGAATGTTCATTCCACACATGAACTACTGTGTTTTTAAAAACAAAGTTGTCCCCCATGTCATTTTTCAAATCTTTCTCCCCTCCTTAAAAATATGTTCCCTAGTCTTGAGTTCTCCTACCTAGGGGTAAAGACACCTCCCATTCACCTTATCTATACCTGTCACAATTTTATAAACCTCTATAATGTCACCTCAATCTCCTACGCTCCAGTTAAAATAGTCCCAGCCTATCCTCCTCTCTCATAACTCAAACCCTCCATTCCTGGCAATATCCTGGTAAACCTCTTTTGAGACCCCTCCAGCTTAATAATATCCTTCCTATAACAGGGTGACCAGAACTGGACACTACTCGAGAAGAGGCCTCACCAACATCCTGTACAATCTCAACATGATAACCCAACTCCTACACTTGTGGTCTGAGCAATGAGGGAAAGCGTGGTAAACGCCTTCTTGACCACCCTGTCTACCTGTGATGCAACTTTCAAAAAATTATGTATCTGAACGCTTAGGTCTCTGTTCTACAACACTACCCAAAGCCCTACTTCAATTGTATAAGTTCTGCCCTTGTTTGTTTTAACAAAATGCAATACCTTGCATTTATCCAAGTTAAACTCCTCCTGTCAACTTTCAGTCCATTGTCCCAATTTATCAAGATCTGTTTGTAATCTTAGATAATCATCTTCACTGTCAACTATACCATCAACTTTGGTGTAACCCAGAAACTATTAAACTATGCCTTCTATGTTCTCAGATAACAAGGTGTAGAGCTGGATGAACACAGCAGGCCAAGCAGCATCGTAGGAGCAGGAAGGCTGACGTTTC